ATTTCACTTTAGTAAATATTTTAATGGTAGAAACCTAAATTTCATACTGCAAAGCAGTGTAATAAAATAAGCTATTCGAATGAAAATATTGGCACAATAGAGCAAACAAGAAACCAGAAAATAAAAAAAAATACTTCTGAAAATTCGCAATAATCGATTTTTTAACAATAAGATCATCGACAGATTCTCTCGCAAAAAATATCGAAACACAACATAAAAATTCTTACAATATACAAAAGTAAAAAAAAATCTGAAATCTTATAATATTGTAAAAATTAAACTCTAATATCTCAGACAAAATTTTCATTGGCATGATAAGTAATATTAACTATTAATATTGATACTAGTTATTCACAGTACGAGAAGTACATAGCTTTCTTTTTCGTATTTATTTTCGGTTCCATCTTTTTCCGTTCATTAATCTGTAAAATGTTAATAAAAATGTCCTTAACTGGTCGAAAAACGGAACCAAACGCATCGACGAAACATTTCAAACATTTTCTCTTAGTTTAATATTAACAAAAACATTAATAGATTATTATAGTATGACTCAATAAGTAACAGGTTGTATGAAGGAGGAGGACAAGGGAGGGGAAATACAGTAAGACGGTATGAGAGAAAGAAGCCGAAAAAGACAATGCAAAACTATATAACAAGTGCCATGTCCTTTTTGTTCGGCAAATTCACTTTCTTGCCTTGCCATAACGAATTGTGGATCGTGAAGGCATCAATGGTTACCGTTAAATGTTTCGTGTGTACTTGAGAGAAACATTTGCCGCCAGAATTATATCTGAAATTAAAATTACAATAAAATAAATATTAGGAAGCATTGTAGTTAATTGTATCTACATATATGACTATTAAAATAAAAGTAACTTAAATAGGAGAAAAAAGAAAAGACAGACGATGAACATACCATGCCGTTAATAACTGAGGAGATATTGGAAAGAATAGGAGAACAGAGGGCGTTATGGAAGCCACTAAGGAAAAAGGGGGGAAGTATTAGAAGCAGAATCAGGAGTAGAGAAGTAGAAGAAAACTGTTGTCTTACTTAAAGAATTTGTCGAACATTCTGTCGTTGACTTGTTTTGGACCAGTTCCATAAAGTTTCATAACTTCTTCCCTCTCTGGGCAGTATGAATAAAGGGCTCGAAATTGACATCCGGCGTCTCGAAACAATATGAGAAAATGTTTGGCTTCAGATCGATTGATTTCTTCCAAGACACGTTTCTTTGCTTCCTTATTGACTGCACCCGGAAAAACGCAGTATTCTACGGCGTTTAACATTATTCCCCTATTCGACTTCGTGGTCGGTTGTTTATACAACCGAGGACCTAGAATTAGTTTAAAAACAACACCTCGTAAGTATATTATTCGAAAACGTATTTGTAGACACTCGAGTGCCACATAAACTATTGGAATCTAAATATTAAACTACACTACATTCTTATATCAGTTGTAATATACCAGTATGCTGATCAAAAATAACTAATTTTGTAAAAGAGAAAATCTATACAGTTACTATCAAAAACGTTTTAAGAAACTAACATGTTCTTAATATTTGATAAACAAATTTAATGCTTTTGGGGACTATTCTACCATTGTCCATACAGTTCTTGTGAAACGTTTGGAGGAGGAGAGCAGTTCTCTCAACTAGGATAGCACATCCGGAATGCAATTCACAATTAAAAGATTATTGCTTTTTTAAATATTACTATATGAACTATTTCGAACCTTTTGACAGTCGACTATGACTTGGAGCTATGAATGATGCAGTTTGATAGGAATTGATAATATGATAATTGACGCATTCGCACGATATAAAAGATCTAACAGTAACATCGCAAAACAATTTCAAAACGAAAGGACACAACATAGAATTTTGCGAAGCGGGTTTGCAACGTGACAACGTAGAACAAAAAAGCAATTACGCAACAAACCTGTGTAGTCCATCATACTACTAGGTGTCGAGCTTATGTCGCTAGAGCCGTCGTCGAATATGCGTCGCTTGGACATGAAGCCAGGCAAACTGCCCGGCCCTGACGGCGACGTCAAATGCCGGATCGTTCCCATGCCGGGCGAAGGCGCTCTTCTCGGAGGCGTAGCCCTACCGAGGCCCGAGTCAGTGTCGCCGTAACGATACGCTAAGCTATCTTGATCCACGCTCGAGCCTGTTGAGTGCGTACCAAGTTAGTAAAACGACACGTTAGTAGAGAAGGAACGTTTCGTTATGGGAACCGGTTATAGTTATTATAAAATAGTTTAACTTTGTGTTAATTTAGGGATGAAATGGAATGGACGTATATTTGTCTATGTTAATACTCTTGCCCGCCGTTATTTCTTGAAACCATAAAATTACCACAAACATGAAGTGCGTCTTCTTTTGATGATAATCGATTAAAGCTAAGCCATGTGTGTGTGGATTAGCAATTAATGCAAGACGAATTAAAAATGTGAAAGCATACGAATAATCATTTATGTATGTTTATGGATGTCAACAAAATACTCTGCTGCTAATTCTTATAAAAATATCTAAGTTCATGACATTATAAAAGACAATTTCTAAACAAACATAAAAACGAAACTAAATTTTAGTTCCAACACTGGCTGTTTTCTTTCAAAGGGAAATGAAAAGCAATTACAACTAATATTTTAACAAGCTATGCTAAATAAAAACAGAAAAATTGTATATCTAACAAGTAATCATACCTAATTTTGCTATAAATAATTTAACATTTAAATTTTCGTATTAAAAAGTAAACTAAAAAACGCACATAAAATGTATTAAATTCTCTGGACTCCATTACAATTTTTCTTCAAATCAGTGATTTTTTTTTTCATGAAAGAACACACAAACTTTGTTTCGTTAATTCAATAAAATTCTCGTATTCTTTTACAAGTCAAAACTGCTAAGATTTTTAACAATCTAACTACTACTTGGGATATATAAGAAAACAAAAACGATAAAATGTACCTTTTAAAACTTCTTCGCAACAAAGGTCATATCTGCAAACTGCGTTACGTAGCTGTATAGTTTTTTGTTTTAGCTATACATCTACAGACACCGAAATAAACAAAAAGCATGCCCGGAAACCCAAAACCAAAGCAACCACAGACCACAGACCATCGACCACCAACCAAAGAACCAAAAACAACAAAAAGTGTACGAGATAGAGAGAGAGAAACAACGGAAATAAACAAGAAAGAGGGGAAACGTCGAAAGAATCTTACCATACAAATTCATCATAGAAGTAGATTTGCGCCCTTTATAAGTAGGATACTTAGGCCTGCCACGGCTCTGAGCAGGGGAGGGGTCTGTAAACACATTCTTTGTCATACACTACTATCCATTTCACTTAAAAATGCTTAATATTGTAAAGATGCTTGATTATTCATGGAAAATAATTTAATATCATGCAATTTTTTATAGAACGTATACGTTTCTTCGATTAATTTTGACATAATAATCCAAAAACCTATAAAATTATAGTGCAATTTTGTAAAGCATATACAAAAAGATGCCCTCGGTTAATTATATACATAACTGATTTGTTCAAGAACTATTAATTTTAATTACCAGAATTAAAACTGGTTTATACAAAAAACTGACTGAAAAAAATTAAATCATTCAAAATATTTAGATTCTAAAACAGTTCCTACC